TTCAGTGGTTAAAGGTAAAGGTGACATGACTTTTTGTGAATCTGTATTTATGAGGATATGTGCAGTGGTTGGTGAAGGCATACAACTGCATTGCAGTATTTCTGGTTTCCCCTGGTTTTTACATTGTTGTTGATGCAGTAAGGCATATTCACCCTTTTGTTTTTTTGCTGTCTTAATGTTGGACACCGACCAGTTTTCTAAGTAATTAAATAAATAAATGAATAAAATTGAAAATCATAATTTCGAAACAAAATATGAAAGTGTTTAGTGTTTAGTATGTCAGAACAATGACTTCAAATGAGTTGGATTGCAGCCAATTTGTGAAATCAGTTCAACAAGATTCTGTTTTAAGAAATGTAACTACCACACCTACAACAATAAGAGAATTGAAGCCAAACACATTGATCCCCTTCCTTTTGTATTATCTTTGCTAATGTCCTCCTGCTTTGTATTTTGTGTTTAATGTTCAGGTGGTTAAGTTGAGTCTCTTGTTGGTTTTTTTTCTTTTTTAATTTAACTACCACAGCAGAAGTCGGTTTCTATTGTTGCCAGGCAACAAATACCGTCCCAGTAAGTACTTGTGCGACCCGACTGTTATTGCTTGGCAACACATTTCCACCCCAATAAGTAAAAAAAATTGACTTAAAATCCACTGTATACAGTAGTGAGACTTTTTTAGAATGGCTGCAGTTGAATGTGGTGACTTGCTGTCTGGACAGATACTCAGGCTCGGCACAAAGAGGAATGGCCGCAGAGAGCCGATCCCACTCCACACTGTCTCTATTCTTATGCTAATCTAAACCCTCAGCTCACCCACCAATTACTGATCAGCCACTGGGTCCAGATTCTCTCCACTGACCAACACACACATTCAAGACCAAAGAGAGAGAGAGTTGAACAATGTGTCATTGTAGTGGTTTCACAACACATGTTCTAATGTTTGGAGCTTAACCCACAATCAACCAATAACCACTCTTAAATGTTGAGTTGTTGTGAGTAAGGACGTGAATTTGAATTCACAGCACAACTACACGACAAATAGTTCTACAAGTATGTTGTCCATTGTTTAGCTCATGTGATTATGGTTTAGTGAGTAACTTACTTAAACTGAACTGGAGGTAATACCAAAAAATGATATAAAAAAACACTTAAATAAAGGTACAAAGTGCTTA